ATCATCTCTGTTTTAATAAGGTAATACCCAGCAATTCCCTCAAAACTCTTATGTTTTGCTAGAGGACTGCTGACCAATTAAAAGCTTCACATTTACATTTGAAAAATGTTCACTTGATTTTTGAGGGAGGAGAATATCACCGAATATCTCTGATATTAGTCTATTGAAAATTTAACATAGATAGAAGACAATTCTACTCAGTGTTGTTGGACAAGAACTTGACAATTTCCATTAATTTTCTTCTTTCTTAGTTACAGCTCCAATATATCCTGTGGTATGTTTTTCTAAACAGTATATGACTTTTCAATGTCAGCAAAAATACAAGGTTGAAACAAAGGAGGCAGAGAAATTAATTATTTTACTCACTAATTTAACAACATTAAGACTCTCTGTACACCTAAAATCTTACTTTGAACTCAGTGGGAATTACTTGACTAAATAAACTAAAATTGCACTGTGAAAGTGGTCTATTACTTGAATATTTTATTATATGTTTTATACAATGGAATCTGATTTTTGAGAGCCATTTTGATGTAGTGGTTAAGGCATCTGCTAAAATCTGGACACTGTGCGTTCTAGCACCGCCTTAGGCACAAAGTCAAACTCTCTGGGCCCTAAGAAGGAAGCAATGGCAAACCACTTCTGAAAAATATTCCAAAGAAAACAGCAGGGATTTTTCCACGAAGCTTTGAGAACTGGACACAATTGAACAGAAGAAGAAGAAAAAAGTCAATACTGTACATGTAGTGGCAGGCTTTAAAAATGACACCTTTTACTTTAAAATCTTAAAGGTGATTAGAATGTGTGGGGCCTTTGAGTTTAGGAAAACACTTAAATAACTAGAAAAGGTAAACATGGAATTGTCATGTTGCTAGAAATAATTCTGTTAGTTAAAGATCTTTTGGGTTTCACCACATGAAAATAAAAGTGGATTATAAATCTAACAACATAGTTGTAATTTTTAAATAATATATAGTAACTTGAATATAGTATCTGAATAGCCTGTATTTATAATTTAAAAAATCATAGCCATGTTTGCATAGTGTCAGATTTAGCTAGAATGAACTGTTTTAGATTTAGCAGAACTATTTGAACAGTTCCTTGTTTACTACAGATCTTTGGAAAACGTACATCATTAACATCAAAATTTATTGAAATATATTCCTTCAAATAGATTTTGAAAGATACTATTTATTTCATTTAATTGTTAAATATATGTCTCCTTTGAAGGAATTTATAGAATTACATGGGTCGAACAACTCTCCAATTTTTCTTTTTACTTAAAGAAAAAATAGGAACAAAAATTTATCAAAACTCTGTAGCTAGATAGTACTCTTTTTTGTGTGACTTCAAGTAACTTATGACTCCTGGTAACAAGTCCAGGCAAACCTTCTACATTCATGGATCGTAAAATAAACTTCTGAGAAATGTGATAATCCAATTCAACTCCCTCCCCCCCATTTTCAACTTTGTTAGCATCTGAATCCATGTTGTTTGGCAAGATGATTATTTCATCCATATTTATCTATATTTTCCCATAGTCTCCCTGTTTAAAGGCCTTTTCATTAAAATCAGCACAAAATATTAAATCAAAATTAAGTATTTTATGTACCCCTTACTAATTTTTAGAACAAATGTACTGGTCAGGCAAATGTGTATTTGGAGTCAGTAAATGCATTTAAGGGTAAGTCACTATTATCAGTTTTCTGAATGTTAATATTCACATGGCTGGCTATCTGTATTATCACCTACACATTTCAATGAAATCTCTTTTTGGCCACTGATTCTATTTATTAATTTTTTTTGGGGGGGGATCAATTTACTGCCTCAGGCATTTTACACAATCCAATTACTATATAGAACAAAAACAACACTGCTGCAAATATTAATTAATGCAATTTATGTAAAAGCATTACTACACTGCTGGTTCCATGCAGAATGAAGGTCTCCTGGAAATGTCAGGTTCTTCACAAGCTTCTGGAAGTCCATGAGAATAGGAGTCACCTTCCTCACATATGGCAGACCTATTAGAGAGTCTTTACAGAGAACACCCACCATTCAGACCTTTAAGATTCTCAAGAAACAGCTAAATGTTGGTAATCAGGGAGAGGGCAGGACTCAGATAGTGACCAGGGTCTGGCTAGCTAACAAGCAGGGAGCATGGGGAGGCTGCCATTGAGTTGTCAAGAGGGTTCGGCCTGGCCAGCTGAGCCTGATCAACAGGAAGAGACAAAAGGCTCAGGAGCAAGTAGGCCCAGTCTGCTAAATCTGAGAAGGCTGCTATTGTCCCCCTAGTAGACCACAGTTTGGGAATTGTTGGTCTGACATGTTGAATTTTAACCCAACTACTGATCCCCCCACCTTCCTTTGAAATCAATTGTGATTATATTCCATCAAATATTTTCAAGGAGATACTGATTAAATGCCAATAATTCCCTGGTCCCAGTTCAGCAACTTCTTGAATATTAGCCATTAATAACAGTATTGCTTTGTGCCTATTAGTGGGAATTGTTTTCCATCATTTCTGAGGAACAGTAGAAAAAAATAAGCATCTACTGTATGCCGGTTTGCAGCAAAAAATTACATACCGGATTACTGACAGACACTGTACTAAAGATAGATCATTCAAATGCAGCATGAGTAGAACAGATTACTGGAACCTAAAACTATAATCCTATTAAATAGCTGTGCTTCGAACAGCGATCTTGCAACAAAGCCATTTGTTCCTCTTAAAGTTTTTAATCAGAGGGTTTGTCTTTCAGAAAAGTTCCACATTTGTAGCTTCTTTGTTGTTTTAATTTAAAAAATGTTATAAGGCACATGAATTCTACTCCAGCTTCTTTATCAGGCTTAATAAAGAATTAACATTTCCATAATTAAAGCCATGATTTAAAGGCTTTTATTACTTCAGGCATGAATACAGTACATGTCAGTTTCTGGGCAGAGTGATTACTAGTAACAGGCAGATTTTCCATTCCTTAGCCTATTTTAAACGTTAAAGTTGTATGTGCGGACATTAGTATTTCATCCCAGTTTAGCCATTCTCTTGCAAATTCCATGGGATCTTTTCAAAATTATTTTAAATAACCCCTTTAACCCTATTTTAAATCTTTTGCTGCTTGCTTTGATCACATTTGCTGCCCTGAGTGTGATTAGGGATTAGGTTAGGGATATAAAATACTAAATGAGCCATACAACAGTTGGCGAAGTTCTGCAGTGCAAAGAACAGATGGAGATGCTCAGGAATTGAAGGTATTCGGAAGTCTTATGGCTGGCCTCATGGTTACATTTTTTTGTCTCAGGTGTACAATCTCCATACTAACCTAGATTATAGCTGCATGTAAATCGGTTTGCAAAAATATGCCTGATGTCAACACGCTAAACTCGAGTTTTCATCTTCTGCTGATCCGATTAGGAGTCATGATTGCAGGCCGTTTCTGAATGTGTCAATCGCTCTGCCCTCCTCTGCACTCTTTACTTGTTGTTCAATAGGATTCCTATTGCAATGTTGTGCAATGGGATTGATCGGTGGCTGTATTGATAATTCCCTGCTTCTTTTTGACCCCCTTTATCGACCATGAACGGATAAACGGGGTTACAAAACAATGCAGGGTTGTTTGAAGGGAATTGGCGATATGGAAAAACTGTTCTTAGCTTTAATAAAACTGTAGCTGCAAGAAAATTTGAGGATTGCTCCGGCAATATTTTACTCCCAGTGCCGCAAGCCGGTGTTGTGGAAGAAATTCGAACAATTTGCGATTTTTTTTTTTCCCGGTGGGAAAAACATTTGAGTTACACTTCTGCTTGCGAAATGGTTTTTTTTTTTTTAAGTCGAGGGTGCCAAGAGGGTTTAAACTTTATGCAAGACAGCCCTGGAGTGCGGATAGTTTGAAAAGTGTATCGTTCTTATTTTATTATAGATAGCATCTGTCAGTTTGTGCCAATTCTCCACCCCAAGCGAATAAGGACGGGAACGAGCAAGTAAGCAAGCAAATAATTGCTGCCGTTGTTTGCCAACAAACCACTTGCGTGGGTGCTCTTCTCAAAAAAAGCCCCGACTCTGGAGTTTCCCCTGTTGGAAAAATTCTTGGCAAGCACCTCGTGATATCTTATTAATATTACCGAAAGCGTTAGCAAACAGGAAGCAGATGCAGCAAGCATAATGCTTGAACGCTATCCGATGACTCGGACAAGAGTCGTCTTCTCTCTCAAATTCTGGAAAGTCTTAGACTGAGTCTTAATGTGCCTTGCCGCCAGTTCCAATAATTGTGAGAAGAAATTCCCATTCCCGCCTTTTTTTTTTTTTAACTTTTACAGATGTTTAACTGCGGGGTCAGGAAAAAGCTTGCTTTTAAAGGACTTTTTGCATGGGGTGAGGGCATTTCCGCGGGGGGGGGGGGGGGGGGGGGGGGCGGACCGGTAGATTCAGCCAGAATTTGTTGGTATCAGGATTCCAGTTAAATGTATGGGGAAAAGTTTTCGGAAAGTCATTGCTGCAGGACCGATTCCTTCCCCCCGTCCCCCCCACCTCCCCCCGTCCCCATCGGAAGATGGCTGTGCTGGTTCATACCTGCGGTAGATTCTTTTCTCCCTTGAGCTGCGTTTTCTGTTCTGTGTGTTGGAGGAAAGGGTCCCATACACGGAAGGACTCCCCCCCCCCCCCCCAAATCAAATCTTTTACTGTGCTGTGAACTTAACACTGATCTGCGTCTCCCCACCCCGCCTTCTTTACGCACTACTGTGCAGGAGTGTGTGTTCCCCCCCCAGATAAGTGTGACTTCGTTGTGAATGGTCAGAGCTATTTAGCTGAGGTGCAAGGATGACTGTATGTTGCCACCCAATCCTCATTCTTCCCCCCTGGATCCCCGCGTTTATCCCTCGAGATTTATGCAACTGGGCGGGAGGCGCTGGATTACCCGGCGCCCTTTGGCTTCGGGAGATAAGCGCTACAAGGAGGCGAGAGCTCAGGACCTCGCGCTCCCCTTTGGCGGGAAGCGACGATGGTGCTTCTGTCCGGGGTTAGGAAAGAGGACCGAGAAAGCCGGAGCCTCACCGCGGAGAAGCAACTGCAAGCAGGGTCCCTCGGAGTTCCAGGAGCCGAGAGTGGAAGGAGTCCCGACGGTAGCGGCAGGATTGAGCCAACCATCCCCGCAGAGCGAGCGCGCAGGGAGAGCCAAGGCGAAGAGGAGGAGGAGGAGGAGGGGGACGATAAGGAGGAGGACGAGGAGTATGAAGACTTCTCGGATCTCCCGGACACGCGAAGCATCGCTTCAGACGACTCCTTCTACCCGCCCCAAGAGACCGACGACGTGGACGAATTGGAACTTTCCGACAGCAAGCAGCAGCTCAGTCTCTTCCGCGCTTGCTGTGCCAACAACGCCGCCGTCGTGTGGGCGCTCATCCGGCAGGGGCTCCAAGAGGAGGACGTGAGGGAGACGGACCGCAACAAGCGGGTGAGGGCGCAGCGCCTAGCAGTGCCGGGCCTGGGCGAGGGGGGGGGGGGAGAAAACAAACGGGTGCGGTGCTCAGGAGAGCAGGTTCATTCCCCTCCATTGATCCCCTTGCTGCCCCACACTCTTATTGTAATATAAGCCTCCAGCGTGTGAGCCACCCCAGAAGAATTAGTGATTCCTTTCTTCCCTCTTTTCCTCCCCCCTTCTTTTTTGCTCCGAAGCTAATAATGTGGCTGCAATTAAAAAACATCACATATTAACAACTTTTTTTTTCTACAAATCCTTAACTCCCTGATCCTTCCTTGTAGTATATAAGTAGCCCTCGACTTGTAACAATTAGTTTAGTGACCATTTAAAGTTACAGTACTGAAAAAAAATGATTTATGACCAGTTTTCACTCTTAATGACTGTTGCAGCATCCCTGTGAACACACGATTAAAATTTGGACACTTGGCAGCTGGTTCATATTTATGAAAGTTGCAGTGTCCTGGAGTCATGTGGTCACCTTTTGCAATCTTCTGACAAGCAAAGTCAGTGGGGAAGCCAGATTCACTTAACTGCAATGATTCATTTAGCAACTGTGGCAAGAAAGGTCATAAAATGGGACAAAACTCACTTAACTTGGTTAGCAATGGAAATGTTGGCCTCAGATGTGGTCGTAAGTCAAGCACTACCAGTACAATCCCTAGACTGCTTTTTCCTGGCCATTTATTTTATTGGTCCACTCCTCAAAAGCCTCTTTCATGTATTACAAGAACTGAAATAGATGAAATCATAACCAATGGCCCCTTCAGCTCCCCCTTTCCTATTTTGCATGCAGACAACTGCCTCTTCATATTTGCAGATTAATATAATATATAATACATAGAATTGTGAGTGAATTAATACAGTCGCCCAGAAATAATTCTGAGTCTTGTGAAAACAGAACAGATGAAAAGAAATTAATCCATCCAAAAGGAAGGAGGCCAAATCCTCCATTAGGTCGGACAACACAAAAAATTAAAAGTAAGCATATTTGAACATTATAGCATAGATAAGAATAGTCTATGATTCATCGTACAATAGTTGCTGAAATTATTTTGGTGCTGTGTTTCAACTTCCTTCAATACGGGTAATCCTCAACTTACGAACACAATTGAGCCCAAAATTTATGTTGTTAAGTGAATCTGGCTTCCCAACTGACTTTGCTTGTCAGAAGGTCACAAAAGGGATCACATGACCTTTGGGACATAGCAACGGTCATATAAATATGAACTAGTTGCCAAGCATCTGAATTTTTATCAAATGATCATGGGGATACTGCAAAGATAACTGAAAAACTGTCATCAGTCAAAATTTTAATGCAGTTGTAACTTTGGTCACTAAACAAAGTGCTGTAAGTTGATGATTATCTTTACTATTCTCAGTTTTCGGATTTTCTTACGAGTTCATCTCAATGATTCCAGTCCAGCCTCCCGATAGAAGTTTTACAAAAATAGAAGTGAAGATATTCATCTGCTTTGCTCAAGATACAGAAATCCAAGACAGGAAGATGTGATCCATCTCCTTTTAATGAAAACACCTGTTTCTCCATTCCACTCTGTTCTATCCATTGACAACCTTTTTAGCGCGCCCACTCATTCTCAACATGTTGACAGAATAATATTCTTTGCCAGGAATCGGTCCACATAAACAAACGAAGCCCCATCCATGGGATGCAGGCAGCACACAAAACCACCACCACCACCACCCCAGTCCATGGAAAAATTTCTCTCCATGAAACTGGTCTCTGATGCCCAGAAGGTTGGGAGCCACTGCTCTAGTGCTTGTCAGTCAGAAGTAGCACAAGTTGATTGTTAGTGTTCTCCATATTTCAAGTTAGACAAAAACAAGCATTGATACAGTCTAGCTTTCTATTTTTGGGGAGGGACTTTAGATTTGGAACCCTACCATTAAACCTTTCTATAGAAGAACCATGTATTTAATCTGCCCTTCAGTTCAGATTTCTCTTTGTCCCCCTGTTTACACTCTATTTTTCTTCTTTGCCTTAGGATTCTCTGTCTTTTCTGTATCTTCCCAATCTTTAGCTCCCTTCCATGTGGCTCTGCTTCTGATCTGATTGGTTACACTTTTTGCCAGTTTGTTGAAAACCATTCAGCTTCCTGAGCAAGTGAATTCCATTCTACCACAACACATCAACTAAGCTAATCAATTTAAGAGGCTTTATTATAACAGCAGTACAATATAAATGCAGCAGGAAGCCCTGCATAGTGATTTTTACTCTCATAATTTTCATGTATTCTGCTCATGCTGGTAAATTACCAGTTATCATCCAATGATGCTGAAACAGCTTCTGCTATGACAGTAATATATTGAGATGTTTTCCGATGTGTACATTCAAAGCACAGAAGCCATCAATAAAATTGGTTTCTTTAAAGTCATTTTTTGCTAACATTTCGAACAAACGCTGCCTTCTCATCTTCTGAAGGGTTGTATTTTGGGAGTCAAGGCTTCGAATAAGTGAGAAGACATCTTGTTCATTTTGAGGTATGTTTTCGATGGAAAGGTCCTGAACTTTTTCTTGCCTTTCTTTTTCTTGTATTTTGAAACCATGTATTCCCTTCACAATTACTCAATCTTTTTTCCTTACAGCGAACTCTTTGTAGATTCTAAAATACAAATATGTTTTTAATGCTAATGTTAACATCCTTGCAGTTTGGCAATGCTGTCTCCATTATGTGAAACATAGCTGTCTAGCAGGACTAAGATATGACAAAGAGGCTATTTCCCACATTTCTTAAATGTTCGAAATTACAGCAGACACCAAAAGCAAGTTAAGCCCAGTCCCAAAGTAACAGCTGCTACAGTGCCCCCATGATCATTCGCCCTTACCGCCGACCACAGATATACTGCAGCGCCCCCTGCTTCTGTTTGTCCCCAGGTCCCAAAATTCCCTCCCTGCTGGCCTTAGTCCTGATTCCCATTCCACCAGGCCCCACACACTCCTCCTCACTGATCTCATTAAGGCAGCAAAATAGAGCAATTTGTCTCGCAGCCACCATTTTGCCCTGCCCACAAGTGGGTAGGGGTGAAATGGCAGCTGCTTCTGAGTCGCCATTGTGCAATCCTGGGACAAGCTGCTCCATTAAGTTTTAAGTGGAGAAATGCTGATGCAGATTAACTTCCAAGTAGCAACCATTGCTTCTAGGGTACATTGGAAATAAATATTTTATCACACTAGGATCAATATTTCCATTCATATTTGACAATATACAATTCTGTAATGATTTTAGTAACCCCCCCCCCCCAAATAAAAACAATTTGGGCTATAAACAAATAGATGAGGTACTTCATGTATGTGTGGGATCATATATCAGATTGTTAACTTTGGGCTCATATATTAAATTGTTAAGCCATTCATCTAAAATGTTATTGTTTTTAAACTGGACTTTAGGTTTCCTGACTGATTGGTAATAGAGAAAAACATTTATAAAGAAATATAGGAAACATGCTGTTATATTCTACTTTTTTCAGCAAGGATTCAGTCACAAAGAAGGCCACTATAATAGCTACCCAATCATTGCCATTCTTCACATTGTTAAAATTCTTTTTATACAACCATAATTACAAAGGAAGTTGTATAGGTTGGTAGGTGGGTGAGGGGATGAATGAATTGGTAGAGATGTATAATTCCAGTCATTGTTTATATGTCTTTCTTATATAACTATGATTGTGTAACTATAACTATTATAAATATATAAATGGTTACTTCATTCTACATATAATATAGCCTCCCATCTTGTAAATGTGCCTATAATGCATTGCTATCAAACCAGATCACTGTGCTCTGGATCATTATTGTTATTTAAATAGCCAGCAGAGAAATGGGTCTCATTTTCTCCATAATACAATTAACCTCCACAAATAATTGTTTTTCTGTAATCGAACATCAAGCCATGTGGGCAGAAGGAGTACCTGAAGATCTCAAACCCTATTTTTGCCAGTAGAGAGGATTGCAAATCTTTGATTTGTGAGTTGCATTTTTACTAAGATGTCTTTTGTAAGAATTTGTTAGCTCTTGCCTGTGATAAAGTGTTATTGCTTAGTTTATTTTAAACTACATAATGATTTTTAGGACTTATGATGCATAAATTTACAAAAATTCACAGAAGTGAATAAACCTTAAAGATTATGGAATATCTTTCTAAACTCTGAATGGTGAAAGCAGGCATTTGACAAGTTCTTTCTGTGTTACAACGTGACTGTTTTAAAACTTATACATCCAAACTTACCTAATAAAGTTTTGACTATTCTAACATTGATTTCTAGCTTCCACTTTCTATAAAAGTTTCAATCTAGATGCTTTATAGAGATGCTGAATTTTCCATTTTGTGTAAGTCCATATAGTTGAAATAATGCATGATCAGTTGAATGAATGTATTGTAGAAATACCCTGACATCTGTGAGATCTTCTTGTAGTTACATTCAAGTATTCCCTTCTCATTCCTTTGTCAGCTGGATATGAAAAAAAGATTCTTATACTGAGTTTCTCTCTGGAGAGTTAGTATAACCATACCCTAGCTATTACAGTATCTGGTACTTTTGTTAAATTTTTAAAGCGGAAAGATAAAAAAACTAACAGAAACTAATAATGGAGAAAAAATTAGTAAAGAAAGAAAGAGAACAAAGACAAAAGTGCAGAAAGAAAAGAAAGAAAAAAAAAACAAAGAAATGGCTTCTGATTTTCCTTTACAACAGTTATAAGCATAAATTTAAATTAACCTCTTACTCTAAGGCTACAACATAACTTTTCAATTTTTCTCTTATTTATTTTGTCTAATCATCAAATTCATAGCAGGGGAGAAATTCAACCCTCCTCGGCTCGGCTCAAGAGAGGTGGTAGGGATGATTTGAATTAGTAAAACATCACCCCGGTTGCTTTTACTATTATACCAAGCCATGCTCACAGAGCCGGTAGGGAAAAACTTTGAATTTCATCCCTGACCCATAGTATAATTGTA